AAATTAAAAAGCCATTGACATTGGAGGTGATTAATCAAATCGCTAAAACAAATTTAAATAAAACCAGGGCTCTTTTGGAATATCTTCGCAATTCTAAAAGTTCAGTGCAAAGAAAATTTCCGCAAAAAAAATTTTTTGCCATTTTTTGATATGTAAAGAAAGTTCTTGCCATTTTTTAATATGTAAAAAAAGTTCTTGCCATTTCTTAATATGTAAAGAAAGTTCTTGCCATTTTATGTTCTTTAAAGAAAGTTCTTGCCATTTTTTGTTTTGTAAAGAACGTTATTGCCATTTCTCATATATTAAATCAAAATTTAAGCTACCGCAGGCTGCGGGTGACAATTTATACGATGGATACTAGTTTAATGTTCTGTAAAGAAAGTTCTTGCCATTTTTTGATTTGTAAAGAAAGTCCTTGCCATTTTTCGCTTTGTCAAGAAATTTCTTTATTCAAAACCCCAAAGCGTCCAATAAAATCAGTAATCATTTCAAAATTTTGATTTTCAATCCAAAACCATATTATCTACCCCCAGTCCCTTCATGCTATCACATGCCGCACCTGAGTTGACTCGAATTTCGACAGATAAACAAAAACAAAAAAGGTTTGTCAGCCGCAAAACAAGTGGGAAATCACCTTGAAATCTGTAGAAAGTGAAGGAAAAGTCAATAAAATCGCAATTAACCGATTACCATCATAATATTAGTTCAGACCACACTAACGTCAAGTCGTTAAATTTTTGATACAGTGGAACTATTTATAAAGAAATAACTTTCTTTACAAAACAGAAAATGGCAAGAACTTTCTTTACAAAACGAAAAATGGAAAGAACTTTCTTTACAAATCAAAAAATGGCAAGAACTTTCTTTACAAAACAAAAAATGGCAAGAACTTTCTTTACAAAACAAAAAATGGCAAGAACTTTCTTTACAAAACAAAAAATGGCAAGAACTTTCTTTACAAAACAAAAAATGGCAAAAACTTTCTTTCCAAAATAAAAAATAACAAAAACTTTTTTTACAATTAAAAAAGCATGCCTATTGTATAACTTGTCTCCCACGACTACACCAAGCCTTAAAACCCAATTTTGAGCCCAAAAACATAATTTTAAGCCTAAAAGTGCAACCTAAACCTAAAATTACAAAGTTAAGCCAAAGTTTAACTTTACGCTTGCAAATTCCATTTTAAGGCTAAAAATTGAATTTTAAACCTAAAAACCTTATTTTAAGCTTCAAACAATATTTTAAGCCTATACGTCCATTCAGTCTAGAAACCCAATGTTAAGCCTAAAATTCAAATTTATGCCGAACAGTCAAATTGTAGACCTAAAAATTCAATTTTAAGCCTAAACGTATAAGCTATGCCGAAAAATTCATCTTTAAGCCTAATCGTCCAATTCTACGCCTAACAGCCCAATTATAAGCCTAAAAGTCCAACTCTAAGCCTAAAAGCTCAATTTTAGCCTTAAAGTTCCATTTTTAACCTAAAATTGCGACTTGTACCCAAAAGCCTAATTTAAGCCTAAACGTCTAGCTTTAAGCCTAAAAGTCCAATTCAAAGCCTAAGAGTCACATTGTAAGCCTAAAAGTCAAATCCCCCCCCCAATAGTGGTTGAAAATCAATGGATCGAAGGACGGAAATGAAAAAGGAAAGTTTCAATGTGTTTTTTGGGCTTGATTGATAACTCTAATTAAAGTTATTTGTATTTCCGCGAGAATTATGTTGCGAGAAATAGTATTTTGGGCTTTAAAATGAGTTTGAATAACATGCCTAAGAGGTTTTTTCTTTTGTAAAGAAAGTTCTTGCCATTCTTTGTTTTGTAAAGAAAGTTCTTGCCATATTTTGTTTTTTAAAAAAAGTTCTTGCCATTTTAAAATATAAAATATGAAATTGAGTTTTTGCCGGCCTGCGAGTGACAAGTTATACGATAAATGCTAATTCTCGTTTTTTCGTTTCGTAAAGAAAGTTCTTGCCATTCTTTGTTTTGTAAAGAAAGTTTTTGCCATTTTTTTGTTTTGTAAAGAAAGTTTTTGCCATTTCTTGTTTTGTAAAGAAAGTTCTTGCCATTTCTTGTTTTGTAAAGAAAGTTTTTGCCATTTCTTGTTTTGTAAAGAAAGTTCTTGCCATTTCTTGTTTTGTAAAGAAAGTTTTTGCCATTTTTTGTTTTGTAAAGAAAGTTTTTGCCATTTTTTGTTTTGTAAAGAAAGTTTTTGCCATTTTTTGTTTTGTAAACAAAGTTCTTGCTATTTGCAATATTTTCAGGCTAGCAGATTTTTTGAATTTGAGGGTATGGTAAGGTGTAAATTTGAATTTAAAAAAGCCCGCCAAACTACTCAAACCATAAAACTTTGCAAAAAAAACAAGTTCGATAATATTTTTTCAGCATGGGAATGCTTATCTTTATTTACTTTTTAACTACCCATGCTGATGCAACGTCCCATTCCTTATCACTCAAAGCTCAGACACTAAAAACTTTTGAGAAAAAAACAGTTTCATTTCTTGCAATTAGTCTTCAGGAATTGATCAAAGCCCTTTTTACTTGCCTTTGGCCATTTTTTCGTTTGAACACGACATTTTTTATTTTTTTAGTTGATTTTTGGTTCAAAAACTCTTGTTTTTAGATGAAAATGGCAAGAACTTTCTTTACAAAACATAAAATAGCAAGAACTTTCTTTACAAAATATAAAATAGCAAGAACTTTCTTTACAAAACATGAAATGGCAAGAACTTTCTTTACAAAACAAGAAATGGCAAGAACTTTCTTTACAAAACAAGAAATGGCAAGAACTTTCTTTACAAAACAAGAAATGGCAAGAACTTTCTTTACAAAACAAGAAATGGCAAAAACTTTCTTTACAAAACAAGAAATGGCAAGAACTTTCTTTACAAAATATCAAATTAAAATCCATCGTATAAAATGTCACCGGCAGCTTGCAGAACCCCATTTTTTATTTTGTGGCTAAGAAATAGCAAGAACTTTCTTTACAAGACAAATCACCACAAAAACCGCCCTATAACAAGAAATCCACCCTACCTTTAAACTATTTACCCTGCAATAGCCCTACCTTAACACTGCCTTACCTGCCCTAGCTTTACCCTACCCTACCTTAAAAACCAATTTAAAAATCTGCTCCCGCTCCCAAATCAAATTTATTTCGAAAAAAATTGCCATAGCCAAAAAAATCAGACGTTTGAAGGCCCTAAACTTCCCCCGCTCTTTATACTCTTACCCCACCTCAAAACCCATAAATCAAAATTTTAAAACTTCAAGCCCTTAGGCCATAAACCCCCGAAAACCCGTCAAAATGGGTGCAAAACGTGTGATTTTCGAGTTTGAGTTGTGTCGAGCAATCCCAGGTAGAATAGGAGGTGAGGGCGGGGGGAGAGAAGCGCCGAGGAACGGCCGTGATTCCCCTTTCCCTCCGAATTTGATTTGAATTCGGAGGGAAGCGCGCCTTTCACCTGGCCCTGCGAATAAACAGATCCATGTCACCACAATAACAACATTACTCTTTACTCACGGACAAAGACGTTTCTGGATGAAGGGGGGTGTAGAATTAGGGAGAGCACTGGGGAGGGGGATCGGGAGAGAGCTGGGCAGCAGGGACCAGAATTATAAAAGGAAAGCATTGTAGATGAGGGGGGGGAGGGATTTTAGGCTTGAGAAATCCATTTTAGTCTTAAAATGGGCTTTTTAAGCATAAAGATGTTTTTTTGATTTTATTAGGTTAAAAATGGTTTATAGGCTTAAAATAGAGTTTTTAGTCTTAAAATTAATTCTTTAGGCTTAAAATTGATTTTTAGGCTTAAAAATGATTTATAGGCTTAAAAGTTAGTTCTTTGGCTTAAAAATGATTTTTAGGCTTAAAATTGAGTCTTTAAGCTTAAAAATGATTTGTAGGCTTAAAAGTTAGTTCTTAGGCTTAAAAATGATTTTTAGGCTTAAAATTGAGTCTTTAAGCTTACAAATCATTTTTAGGCTTAAAATTGAGTCTTTAGGCTTAAAATTGATTTTTAGGCTTAAAATTGAGTCTTTAGGCTTAAAATAGATTTTTATGTTTAATATTGCCTTTTTAGGCTTCAACATGCTTTTTAAGCCTAAAGTAGCCTGGTTAGGCCTAATCTCGTTCCTAAGCTTCTCATTTATAGCTTCTAAGCCTTAAAATTAACTTTTAAGCTTAAAAAAAGCTTAAAATTTCTTCTCGCTTAAGATGTCAATAAAAATTCAAAATTCAAATAACAAAAACACTGCCAACAGATATTTATGTCCGTGCTTTACGATAAAAAGTAAGTTGAATTGGTAAACATGTTTTATTATCTTTTAGTTATCACTTTTTTGCATTTCAAAGGTTTTGTTTATTAATTTAGGCCTTCAAAATTACATTTTGATGCCATAGTATACCTTAATTGTTTTTCGACCCCCGCCCCTAGAGCAAAAGTCCCCGCCCGGCCCTGCCTACCCTACTTTACCCAATAGCTAAAGATTTTTTTGAGGTGTTACTTACAGCTGATATAACAATATAGCCTTAGAGAAATTGCAAGAAACTGTGTTGCGCAACTTTTTCTTATGTAATTTTATGGTCTTATATAACACTTGCCTCGATGTAAAACGGCCCTACAAATTACTGCGAGTGCTGGGATTTAGTTCATTTTTCTGTACATACCCTACCCTGCCCTATCTTACCCCTACCTACCCTACCCTACCCTGCCGTACCCTACCCTACCCTACCCTACCCTACCCTACCCTACCCTACCCTACCCTACCCTACCCTACCCTACCCTACCCTACCCTACTCTACCCTACCCTACCCTACCCTAGCCTACCCTACCCTACTCTACCCTTACTAAACTCCACGATCGAATTTCTACCGTAACCGGTACTTTTTCATACCAATGATTCTACCGTAACTCGGCATGTTGTACGACTACTGCTCTCTCTACCACAAAACAAACACAAAAAAATCTGTATCGACGTCCCTGACCTAACACTAGCAATAACTCTTCAATCACCCACCTCAATGACCACCATGGCCTTCTCGAACTCGTCTTCGCGGCATCGTTGAACGTCCCAAACCCGCTGCTCCAGTCTTTTCCTCTCCTTCGCCCTCTTTTCGTGCAATTTTCCCTTCAGATTCTCGGCCACATCAATGGCATTCTTGGTCAACTCAACACATCCTTCATGCTCCTTCAATGCCATTATAATACCATTAACTTCGTCTATCACCATCAGAATCTTACGGTATTTACGGTACTTGTTAATGTTGGCATTGTACTGCTTTATACGTTCCAGATAGACAAAGATACGATTGAAATTGTTGTAGAGTTCGGACCATCTGGCCTCGAGTTGGAGTGAACGGTCATCGTTTTCGACTAAAAATTTCAAAATTTGTTTAAAAAATGTTAACAAAATCATGGCATTGCACGACTTAAAGCCTTAAAGCGTATTTTACATTACTTCTCATTCAAAAAACAGCTTTTAATTTAATAAAAAATGGCATAAATTACCAAAAAAATTGAAAAAACTTCAATCTTGCGCCATTTTTTGATGATACCACAAAAGTAAATAGACCAATCATTATCAAAAGTAACATAAAATACTTCTCAAAGTATATATTTAAAAATGCAATGCCATTTCCAATCAAAACCTTATAATTTCTGACCCAAAAACACCATTTCCTTCCATCAATAACAAAAAAAAGTAAAATATTTTGCCATTTTTTATTCATATCCCGAAATTCGTCATGCCAATCTCTATTAAACCATCTTTCAAATACCGTCTACGATCTTGTTTTTATCCCCCAATATCATTTCCAATCAAAACCTTATGATTTTTACCAAAAAACACAGTTTGCTTCCACCGTTCCCCGAACCACCGCCAAATAATCAAGCGCACCGTTGCTTAACTTGCCAGATCGGACAAGATGTCGCACTCCTTGTCTCACCAAAATCGCCTCTCTTGTTTTCTGGCCGCGCCTTTTTGAGCTCTCTTCTTCCCAGGCCTGGTTGTAATTGCACAGTGCAAAAAGGGGTTCCCGTCCGATCTGGCAAATTAAGCAACGGTGCCCTTGATTATTTTCATGAGGGTTCGAAGAACGGTGGAGGAGACTGGTGTTTTTGGGTAAAAATTATGGGGTTTTGATTGGAAATGATATTGTATTTTAAAATAGAGATTTTGGAGAGTATTTTAAAAATGGTTTAATAAAGATTGGCATAGGTGTTTTTGTGGTATGATTAAAAAATGGCAAAAATCTTAAAAATTGTAGATGAAAATTGACGTTTTTGTTCCAAAAATCAAGTTTTTAGGTAAAAATAATCGTATTTTGATCAGAAAATGTATTAGAGGTCAACAATAAAGAATTTGAAAACCCCAAAACATACCTTTAAGTTGAGCCAAGGTAACATTAATGATCTGCATCTCATTGATCGCGCCTCTGGCCCCAGTTTCCGAATCAATTTTCCTCTCAATAATTTCTTGTTTTCTCTGTAACAACTCATCAATTCTCTGTTTAACCAACGTATCATCGACAGTAACCCCGTATTCCGTTTCTACAGTAGTTTTTGTGGTTTCAAATCGTGCCTTCAGGGCATTTATACGATTTGCGGCCGTTTCATTGACATTTTTAATGTTCTTCAACTGGTCGATGGCGGATTTCATCAGCTCTTCTTCGTCTACTTGCATTGTGTCCTGCTGAAATTTCAAATTTTAAAAATTTTGATTTTCTTTAAAATTTTTTAAAACTAAATTTGAACCTTTGAAAAAATGGTTGTAAATGAAGTTTTTGCTAATCATAACTTATAAGAATTGTGTCAAAACTTTATTTTAGAGTACTAAAAACAAATTCAATCAACAATTTTAAAAAATTTCAAAAAAAAATTTTTTTTTGAAATTTTAAATTTTAAAATTTAAGCCCAAAATCACTTTATCATATCATAAAAACATGTCTCATTACCCAGAAAATCCATTTTTACAAAAAAAATCTTGACAAATTTCTCCAAAAAAACCAAGTTAAAAATTTGAATTTTCAATTTTCCGCCATTTTTGGCATTCCGTTTTTTGCCTCTATTTCAACACAAATGAAGTTCAAAACTTTAAAATATAAGTTTTGAAGACTTTTAGCTATCTTTTTAACTCTAATTTAGCCCATTAAAAACCACATCCACTTCACAATATTAACATAAACATCAAACACCATCAAATCTCTTCAAAAACCATCACAATCACATCAAAAACCACCAAAATAACCTCAAAAACCAATCAAAACAACCTCAAAAATAACTGAAATCACCTCAAAACCAAAACAAAAAGAAGAAATTATAGAAAAGCAAAAAGAAAAAACAGAAAAGTAACCACAAATAGAAGTGTATATCACCTCTTGTGTTTCTGGTTCGGGTGGTGCTTCTTTTCGAAGCTCCTTTTTAATGCGGCGGACCAAGGTTTTGGTCTCGATCACCTCCATTGTGATCTCTAATTGGCGGGTTTCAATTAGCTAAATGAAAGCATAGAAGCGGGTAAAGCGATACAGTATAGTTTGCTGTAGAAGAAATGTAAATGGAGTTGGGTAGGTGTTATCATAGCTATGATAGAAGCGTTGATAGAAGCAAAGCTGTGGTAAGGGTAAGATAAGAAAAGATAGTGATACTGTATAGTAGGATAAAGTAAGGTAAGGTAAGAACACTATGAGTAAAGTAAGGGTACTTTAGGAAAGGTAGGGTAAAGCACGTTACAATACAGCTAGAGAAGGTATGGGGTATGGGGTATGGGGTATGGGGTATGGGGTATGGGGTATGGGGTATTGGGGTATGGGGTATGAGTATGGGGTATGGGCATGGCTAAGGGTATGGGGTATGAGGTATGGGTAAGGGCATGAGTATGAGCATGGGTATGAGCATGGGTATGAGCATGGGTATGAGCATGGGTATGAGCATGGGTATGAGGGTATGGGGTATGGGTAGAGCTTAGCAAGAAATAAAAAGATATATTTATAGAAAGAGGAAATTACAGTAATCACATCAAACCCAAAAAATTTTTATATTGACTATCAGCCCCCCCCTCCCCCAATCAACCCTAAGCGCTCTGCCTTTTTTTCTCCCACCATTATGAAAATCATCTTCCAACTTCCCCCCCCCAAAACCCTCCTTACCACAAACAAGGAGCTGATTTCCTGCTGCAACGCGCGCAACTGTTCCGTTGCCACAACACCTTTATTTTCCGGTCGTTCGAGAATAGCCAGTTCAGCTCCAAGTTGATCCACCAATTCCGATCGTTCCCTAACCGATAGTTTGGCCAATTCAGAGTCAGGCGAGTGAAACTGGGTCCATTCTTCCATTTGCTTCAGCTTCGTTTCAACAAAGCTTAGAATTGGCTGCAACTCGCGCAACTTTTCCAATTTATTGTTTAAAGATTGCTTGGTTTGCCGGTAGGATTTGGACAACGCTTCAGCTTCGTGACGGGGTAATGCGTCGGATTCGAGGCACTGATTCAGAAGCTCATCGTGCTCGGCGTTGGTCTCGGCACAGTCCTGAAATTTATGACATTTTGAGATGGTACTTTTGAAAAAATATTTAAAAAATAATTTGTGGCAGTAAAAAAGCAGTTTTAGTTATACTACTCTTATATTATAGTATAAAGGTGAAAGAAAATTTAAAAATGTGTCCCACCACGAAAACCTTCAACTTTAATTTTTACGTAAATCCTCGCTTTTTCTTTAAAAAAATAGATTTCGTAGTATTGTAAAAGTATTTTTAGTTATACTACTCTCATAATATACTATAAAATCCAAAAAAATCGTAAAAATGGGTCTCACCACGAAAACTTCAAACTTTCATTTTTCGCCAAATTTAAGCATTCTTAAAGTAAAAAAAGCCTTAGAAATAATGTTTAAGCATACTAAACCAAGTAACATATGATTTTAGTCCTAAAAATACTGAAAATAGGTCCCACTACGAAAACTTTAAACCTTCATTTTGGCCAAATTAAAGCGTCTTTAAGGTAAAATACGCTTCGTAAAATCTTTTTAGACATATTAAAGCTATAATTAACGTTCAGCTTTTTTTAAACGTAAAAAATGGGTCCCACCACGAAAACCTTCAATTTTAATGTTAAGGCAAATTACCGTTTTTTACAATTTTACGGTAAAATACGTAGAAAACTTTAGAGCCATTCAAAATCTAAAATACAAAATAATCAGTATAGTTTGTTTACTTATCACTTACATTCAATTCACTGATCAACTCTGCCAAATCCTGTCGATTATTCGGTCGCTTCCTCAACAACGCCTGAACGTTCTTCACAAAGCCTTTGAGACGATGAATTCCGTCATCTGAAGCCATTTTTGATTTCAAATGAATTCTGGCGGTTCGAATGGTTCGTGTTTCTTCCGTTGGACCGGGTTTCGGCTCATTTTGAGGGTCAATCTAAAACAAATCAACGTCTATGAGGTGATTCATATCCTTTACTTTGTCGGCCTCGGCCAAAAAACTTCAGAAAACTAGACTTTTTAAAGACTATTGGCTATAAAATAACTTTTATATTGAAAAATGGCAGAAAAGTAGCTAAAAAGGCAAACATTACTTCTAAAAAATTAAACAACAGTACCTAAAAAGAAGAATATTGCCTAAAAAATATTACTACAACAAGCCATATCATCCTAGCTATAACCCCAGATCTTATTCTTTAGTAAAATCGTTTTAATTGTTACCTAAACGCCTCAAAAAGGTTTGTTTTCCTCAAAATTTCCAAAATTTTTGCGTTTTTTAATCGTACAACAAAAAACCTCCTGGCAATTTTAATTAAAACATTTTTATAATACCCACCAAAATCTCTATCTTAACCCCCAATATCATTTCCAATTAAAACCCGATCATTTTTACCCAAAAACACCAGTTTCCTTCGCCGTTCCCCGAACCCTCGCTAAATAATCAAGCGCACCGTTGCTTAACTTGCCAGATCGGACGAGATCCCCTTTTCGGACTATGCAATTCAAATCAAGCCGGGAGAGGAAGAGAGCCAAAAAGGCGTGGCCAGAAAACAAAAGAGGCGATTTTGGTGGGACAAGGAGTGCGACATCCCGTCCGATCTGGCAAGTTAAGCAACTGTGCGCTTGATTATTTTGTCGAGTTCGAGGAACGGTGGGGAAAAGAGTGTTTTTGGTTAAAAATGATAGGGTTTTGATTATAAATAATATTATAGGTTGAAAAGATGATTTTAAGGAGTATTTTAAACATGTTTTAATAAAGATTGGCATGTTCAATTTTGTGACATAAATAAAAAATGGCAAAATATTTTACTTTGTTTGGGATTGATGGAAGGAAATAGTGTTTTTAGGCCAGAAATGACAAGGTTTTGATTGGAAATGACATTTGATAGTAAAGTAAATACCCAAAAAAGTATTCTACAAAGTTTTTGACAAAGATTGGTCAGCTTTTTTGTGATATGTAACAAAAAATGGCAAATAAACCCTACCTTATCCACTCGGCTCTCCAGCCCTTTGAGCCTCTGTTTCAATGCCAGTCCAGCGGCTGTAGAGACCAAAATTGACATTATTTTCTGGGCCACATTCTTGGCCTCATCCAGCTTGCTTCTGCAGTCAAATCGTGGCGTTCTCTTTTCAGTTTGACATAGGATAAGTTCGGCCTCCAATTCCTTGCAAATCGCTTCAAATTCGGCCCAGAGGCGTTTCTGTTCCTTGATTCTCGGCCCGAGGGCTTTAAATTCATTGACAATGTTGAGTAAGGCTTCTTCGTTCTTGGTCAAGACTTCCGAATTATTGAAACTAGGTATCACGATGTCTTCAGAAGTCGTTTCCTTCATGATTCTCAACAACTTCTCGGCCCGCTCGTCCGGCTTCGTCTTGGCTTCGGCTTTGTAGTCGGCTTGGAAGCGTTTCAAGGCCGCCAGGTTGGGCGGACTCTTCCACAAATTAATCTTCTTCTCCAATTCATCGACGAAACATTGGATTCTGAAGTGGATTTGAAGCAGAAGCAGGCTTTTCATTCGTTGATGGACCTCTTGGCTTAGGTATTCGACTCGTTTTCGCATCGTTTTTATGATTTCTGCATCGACTTTTTGACCGTTCGCTAGGCCAGTCTGGGCGACCGTGTAGAAGCGTTCTCTTTGAATGGGAAAGGTCTTGAAGTAGGCCTAAAATTAAAGTGAACATCAAAGAGAAAATTTTTTAATTATAAGTTTAGGTAAAATACGAGATTGATCATAACAAATTGAAGTCCTATTTTAAGCCTTAAACCTAAAAACTTCCTTGAGCCTTAAAAATAAATGTTAAGCCTAATAAATCAATGTTAAGCCTAAGAATTCAATTCTAAGTCTAAAAATGAAATAGAAGCCTTAAAAATGTACTTTAAGCCTATATAGTCAACTTTAAGCCTAGAAAACCAGATTTAAGCCTAAAAGCCAATTTAAGCCTAAAAAATCAGAGTTAAGCCTAAGAAATCATGGTTGAGCCTGAGAACGAATATTAAGCCTAAGAAAGAAATTTTAAACCTAAAAGATCAATTTTAATCCAAAAAAATCAATTTAAGTCTAAAGATCAAATTTAAGCCTAAGAAACAATTTAAAACCTAAAATTCAAGTTTAAGCCTAAGAAACCAATTTTAATCCTAAAAACTAATTTTAAGCCTAAAACTCAAATTTAAGCCTAAAAACTAATTTTAAGCATAAAACTCAAACTTAACCTAAGAAGACAACCTTAAGCCTAGAAACCAATTATAAGCCTAAAAATCAATTTTATGCCTAAAACCACTAAAAACCTTCAATTTTGCTCACACTTACATTATGTTTGACAATCATCTGCTCCAAGTACTTGACAATTTGAGAGTTGGATTTCTTGTCCAGCTCCAACTTTTCCCCGATGATTTTCTCTCCTCCGTTCAACCAGTCAGCAATGGTCATCAAGGGTTGAGGCAGCTTCTTGTCAAAAGCCTTGTTCCATTCTGACATCTTGATACAAATTTGAGTCCATCTTAAAAATACTGCATTAATGCAAGACGTATTTTACTTAATTTAACCAAAAACAACCAAAAATTTTTAAAAAAATTATCGACCGGTCGATTTTTCAAAATATTTTTTTAAAAACATATTTATAACTCATGTCTGATCCATGATGTTATAATAGTACTAGTTATAAAACCACAAAAAAATTTTTTTTCAAATTATCGATCGGTCGATTTTTCCAAAAAAAACTTTTTTTTGTGAAAATCTACCTTTTAGGGCGTTTTATAGTCTATTATAGGCTTACAAAAGTTATAAAGCCTTAGGAAATCCAATAAAAAATTATCAACCGGTCGATTTCACAAAAATTTTTTTTTAAAAAACATACTTTAACTCATGTCTGATCCATGATACTATAATAGTACTAGTTATAAAATCCTCAAAAAAAGTTTTTTTTAATTTATCGACCAGTCGATTTTTCCAAAAAAACTTTTTTTTTGTAAAAATCTACCTTTTAGGGCGTTTTATAGTCTATTATAGGCTTACAAAAGTTAAAAGCCTTAGGAAATCCCATAAAAAATTATCGACCGGTCGATTAAAACAAAAAATTTTTTTTTCTGTAAAAATCAACCTTTTAGGCTATTTTATAGTCTATTATAGGCTTAAAAGAGTGACAACCCTCCAAAAAATCCGATAAAAAAATTATCGACCGGTCGATTTTTTAATAATTTTTTTTTGCGAAAGTTAACCTTTGTGCCATTTTATAGTCTAACATAAGCTTACGAGTTAAAAACCTTTAAAAAGTTTTAAACAATTATCGACCAGTCGATTTAACCAAAAAAAAATTTATAAATTTAAACTTAATTTTAGCTTTTAGGTTTAATTTCGTCCGATCATAAGCCTAATTTCAAAAATTTTATAAGCTTAACACCTCCCCCTCTCCAAAACCCCAAGAAGCAAGCCCCAAAAACCTACTGATCATTGACCATGTCCCATTCGCTAGCCTCCAGAACATGATGATTCTGTTTCAGATCGTTGTAGAAGGCCTTTTTCTCCAAAAACTCTTGTCGCATCTTAAAGCGCCATGTAAAGAGATCTGAGATTGGCACATCCGAGGACTCCATTTTGACAAACATTTCATTTTTGATTAGTTCGTCAATCCATTGAATCAGGCCTTGGTATAGTACACGCGATTTGACTGGTAGTACTCCTGATTGGTATTTGGAAGAGCCTGGAAGTATGATAAATAGTTTGAGCTAAAAAATGGCTAAAAAAGAAGAAGAAAGACTAGTTGACTATGATGGGTATAAGTTGAAAGTAGAGTAGAGCGACAGATTAAAGTAAGGCTACAGTAGAAGTAAGATAAGGCCAAAGTAACGCCAACAAAATATAGCTTTTAAGCTAGAATAGAGCAAAAACATACAGTAATCCAGCAATGTAGGGTAGAGTTGAGTAAGGCAGAGAGGGGTAAGACCTTTTAATTGTATAGTAAAGCTACAGTAATCCAGCAATGTAGGGTAGAGTAGAGTAAGGCAGAGAGGGTAAGACCTTTTAATTGTGTAGTAAAGCTACAGTAATCCAGCAATGTAGAGTTGAGTAAGATAAAGCAGGACAGGTAGGCCTCGTTAAAATTAGGGTAAAGCTACAGTAATATCGTAATACAAGCTAAGTTATGGTAATAATACAGTAATCCCGTAATTTAGGGCAAAGTAGAGTATATATGACAGACGAGATAAGGTTACTGTAGGGTAAAGTAGGGTAGAGTACGCGTACTGTATGACAGTGTAAGAGTACTGTAGAATCGGTAGGGTAAATTTGGGTGAACTAGACGGATTGAATAAACCAGGAAAAGCACTGTAGGGCATGGTAGGGTAGGGTAAAGTAGGGTAGGGTAGGGTAGGGTAGGGTAGAGTAGACTAGGGTAGGGTAGGGTAAGGTAGGGTAGGGTAGGGTAGGGTAGGGTAGGGTAGGGTAGGGTAGGGTAGGGTAGGGTAGGGTAGAGTAGAGTAGGGTAGGGTAGGGTAGGGTAGAGTAGGGTAGGGTAGGGTAGGATAGAGTAGAGTAGGGTAGGGTAGAGTAAAGTAGGGTAGGGTAAGGTAGAGTAGCTTACCAGGCGGAGGTCTCAAGAACTGTGACACATAAGTGACGACACTTCTTTTGTCCGGTTTATCGACCATTAGATCGTCCACATCCAGTAGTGGTCGAATGCCAAGGTGTGTTTTGGCCAATTCGAATGCCATACTCAGGTTTTCCCTCGGATTTCCCTTCTTGACCTTCTCCATGTCAACAAGGTCCGGTCGACAGCGATGGACTAGAGCACAGAACGCTACGCCGTCCTTCCAGGAACGGTCCATGTCTTCTACTCGGATACCGTAATGTCTGAATTTCAAAAATTAAAATAAATGCAAGAACTTTCTTTACAAAACAAAAAATGCTATCCATCGTATAACATGTCACCCGCAACCTGCATAAACTTACAGTCCAATTTCAGAAGCCAGCCACCGCCTCAGAATCCTATCAGGCGTTTGTTGTAGCCGAAATGAAGCTCTCGACGTAGTTGGAGTATCAAAACTACTGCTACTTGATGGTTCATCCGAGACTAAAATGGTACCACCTTGACTGGAAGCGTCTAGTCCCCATTCCCTAAGTAGTTCAATGGCTGTTTCGACCTGGAAATAGCAGAAACTTTGTTTACAGATGATAATATGAAGGCAGGGCAAGGCCGAGGCAAGGCCAGGGCAAGGCCAGAGCAAGGCCAGGGCAAGGCCGGGGCAAGGCCAGTGCAAGGCCGGGGCAAGGCCAGTGCAAGGCCGGGGCAAGGCCAGTGCAAGGCCGGGGCAAGGCCAGTGCAAGGCCGGGGCAAGGCCAGGGCAAGGCCGGGGCAAGGCCGGGGCAAGGCCGGGGCAAGGCCGGGGCAAGGCCAGGGCAAGGCCGGGGCAAGGCCGGGGCAAGGCCGGGGCAAGGCCGGGGCAAGGCCGGGGCAAGGCCAGGGCAAGGCCGGGGCAAGGCCAGGGCAAGGCCGGGGCAAGGCCGGGGCAAGGCCGGGGCAAGGCCAGGGCAAGGCCGGGGCAAGGCCAGGGCAAGGCCGGGGCAAGGCCGGGGCAAAGCCAGCGCAAACTTATGGCAAGGCCAGGGCAAAGCCAGGGCAAGGCATAGGGTAGGGTAAATGATAAAGTAGGGGTAGAGTAGATAAAAAACCAAAAAAACTATAGTATCCCCTACTTGAAAATGCAAAATAATTTGCCAGATCAGTCCCAAAATGATTCTCGGATTTCCATCGGCCAAATCTGAAGCATTGTTGTTGACCAACTCCAATCCTCGACCTCTCAAATGGGTCAAACAGGTCTGCAGGTTGGTCATGTGGTGCACTCTTTTTGAGACAAACGCTTTATTAACTGGCTGAAAAAAACCAAATTTAATCAAAAATTTCTTTTTACTTTACATTTTACATTACTTTTAACATACCTACGAAATTTTAAAAATTTTTTTTGAATTTTTATTTTCGCGGGCTTTTTTGGCATTCTGTTTCAAGTGCTTTAAAACTACTTTTTCAGCATTTGAATTATTCTTAACGACCTAATGGCAATTTTAAGCAAGATGTGACGTAGTTTCTATTCAAAATTTTTTTTCGAAAAATTCAAATTTGATTTTTCGCGGTTTTTTGGCATTCTGTTTCGAGTGCTTTTAAATAACTTTTTCAGTATTTACGTTACAATGTACATCCTATGTACTATTATAAAAAAGATTTAAAATATTTTCAACAATAAAAATTTTAAAAAATTCAAATTTGATTTTTCGCGGGCTTTTTGGCTTTCCGTTATTTTGTAACTTTTCGCTTATTCTGTTAGTCTAAGATTGATAAAAACGACAAAAAAACGCTTTCAGTAATCTTTTAGTAATACTCCTCTAACCTTAATTTAAAAAAAAATTTGAAAAATCGACCGATCGAAATTTTTTTTGGAAATTTTTAAAGTTTAGAAAATTTTGTAAAATACGTCAAGGCATAAGAAAAATTTTTTTGTTAATTTTCAAAACAACCTACCAATGCATCGCCGGTGAGAACTTCGATAAGATGGCATAGGAAGACGCCATCCCTGAGATCAGTGTACAAGTTAGAGATCTGGCCAGATGATGAGTGCTGAAACCAGATTTTTCAATATTTTGGACCTAGAGTCCATTTAAACTTCAATTTCTACCCCTACACCTAATAGTAATACTGGTATCCCTACTGGTACTATTGGTACCAATACTCCCTGTGGTACTAATGGTACTCCTATACCTTATGGTACCATCAGCACTCATATTATACCCCAGCTTAATTTTTACCCCTACCCTTACTAATACAATCACTAATAGTACTAATGGTACCCCAACCCCCAAAACTCACAGTTTCAAGATGATAATTGATCCATTTGGTGAAGGTCTTCTTCTGACACTTTTCATTTTCATCTGAAATCGTTCGTAAAGGCGATGACACAAACCTCCACACTGTTTTCATAACCTTTAGCTAAACTACTCAGCTAGTCCAAGCCAAAATACACTGATTTTTAGTGATTTTTCGATATTATAGTAGGTTTTTAGTCAATTTTTATCGATTTCAACCCAAATTTTTGAGAAAATCAACCAAAAACTGTTTTTAAAATATCAATTAATATCTGTGAATACTATTGACAATAAGCTTAGTCCAATATAACAGCAGTAATTAGGTGTTAATTCGCTTTGAATCACATTGAATACCTAAATTTTGATGATAACTACAAGAAAACGCAAGAAAAGTACACGAAAATGAAGAAATAGGTATGGAAAAGTAAAACAATTGAATAGAAAACAAAATAAAGATTATCAAAAAAATTATTAAAACCGCAAAAATTTTGTTTACATCCCCAAAAAGCCAAAAAAGAACGATCAAAACCCACAAAAACTAATGTTCAAGCCAAAAAAGACAATATATCTAGCTAATAACAAATTATAATTTTACAAAATTTGATGCAAAAACTTTCTTTACAGTCTTGGAAATCCTAAAATGTCAAGTTTCATTCAAAAAGAGCAATAAAATATAGGTTTACCGGCCGAAAAACCTAAAATAACATCAATTTTTCTTGGTTTTGCGCCAAAAAATACAATTTTTATTATAAAAACGGATTTTTCAATCCCAATTTTTTATGAAGAAACTTTCTTTACAGTCTTGTGAAACTTATAAAAATAGTTTCATTAGAAAAATATTTGAAAAATGTAGGTTTTTAGCTAAAAACCTATAACAACATAAAGTTTTATGGGTTATACGGCGGATAAATTCAAAAAAGGCTTTGAAACTTTTTGAAAATTATAAATTTGAGGTCAATATCAGATAGAAAATAGAAAAAACTTTCTTTACAATCAAAAACATATCCAAGTTTCTTCGAAATTACCCAAAAATAAGAATAAAAGACCTAACAAAACATGTTTAAGCCTAAAAAAATACGTGAAATAAGCCTACAAAAGTCTAGTATAAGCATAAAAAAGCTTAAAATGACCTAAAAATATGTTAGGAAAGCCTAAAACGGAAGTGAAAAAGTTTTAAAAAACCTTAAGAAGCCTAAAATAAACCTAAAAAAGGCTGAAAAAAAGCTAAAATAGACTTAAAGTAAGCCTAAAAAAGCTAAAACAAACCTAAAATAAGCCTAAAAAGGCTAAAACAGACCTAAAATAAGCCTAAAAGCTACAAACAGAATTAAAGTAAGCCTAAAAAAGGCTTAAAGAAATCTAAAAAGACCTAACGTAAGATCAACAAGGTCTAAAAAGACCAAAATAAATCTCAAAAAACCTAAAATTAAGCCTAAACAAAACTAAAAGAAACAGAAATAAGCCTAGAAATACCCAAAACAACCTAAAATATCTCATTTTCACCACTTTCTACCCTAAATTTCGTGAGGAAAACAAATTCCAGAAGACGAATAATGCCTTTGCCAGATGGGGTGGATTGTCGCGCACTTTTTTTGTTTTTATGTTTGTCGCGTTTCGTAAAAACGCCATAAAATTCGCCCAAAACTACGAGGGAAATTCTGGATGAAAGTGAGGGAGTGTAGGTAATGAGTAGTGCGAACAGAGAAAATAAGATAAATTGAGTTTTTTGAGTTCAAAATGGCAAGAACTTTCTTTACAGAACGGAGAATGGCAAGAACTTTCTTTACAGAACAAAAAATAGCAAGAACTTTCTTTACAAAACGTAAAATGGCAAGAACTTTCTTTACAATACACAAAATGGCAAAAACTTTCTTTACAAAACGTAAAATGGCAAGAATTGTCTTTCTTGAACGGAAAATTATACCCATCATATAACTTGTCACGCGCAGGCTGCGAAACTTCTATATATGGTTCTTTTGGTAAAAAATGGCAAGAACTTTCTTCAGAAAACAAAAAATAACAAAAACTTTCTTTACAGATCATAAGGTGGCAAAAACTTTCTTTACAAAACAAAAAACCATATCTATCGTATAACTGATCACCCGCAAGCTGCGAAACTTCAAGATTTCGTTCTTTTGGTAAAAAATAGCAAAAACTTTCTTTACAAAAAAAATCGCAAGAACTTTCTTTACAAAATAAAAAATGGCAAGAACTTTCTTTACAAAAAAAATCGCAAGAACTTTCTTTACAAAATAAAAAATGGCAAGAACTTTCTTTACAAGCCCAAAAATTTTTAAATTTTGAAAAATATGCCAATAACCATCCACACTTCAATGTTGTTCTGTTTAGCACATTCTCCTAGTCCTAACAGACCTCTTTTTGCCTGTTTTGTCATTGTTTTTTATTAGTTTTCTTTGCGCGTAAACAAAGAGAGTGCTACGAAAGAGGAGAGCACTAGACAGTTGTTTTTTGGTTAGAGAAAGAAGATGTTAAAATGTTGAGAAAATATGCAAAAACTTTGTTTCCAAAACGCAAAAGAACTATAATAAAATGAAATGTAGGTAAATTGGCAAGAACTTTCTTTACAGAACAAAAAATAGCAAGAACTTTCTTTACGGAACAAAAATTTACAAAAAAATAAAGCTCATCGTATAACTCGTCTCCTGCAGACTGCAGAAACTAAAATTTCTATGAAAATGGCAAGAACTTTCTTTACAATACACAAAATGGCAAAAACTTTCTTTACAAAACGTAAAATGGCAAGAATTGTCTTTCTTGAACGGAAAATTATACCCATCATATAACTTGTCACGCGCAGGCTGCGAAACTTCTATATATGGTTCTTTTGGTAAAAAATGGCAAGAACTTTCTTCAGAAAACAAAAAATAACAAAAACTTTCTTTACAGATCATAAGGTGGCAAAAACTTTCTTTACAAAACAAAAAACCATATCTATCGTATAACTGATCACCCGCAAGCTGCGAAACTTCAAGATTTCGTTCTTTTGGTAAAAAATAGCAAAAACTTTCTTTACAAAAAAAATCGCAAGAACTTTCTTTACAAAATAAAAAATGGCAAGAACTTTCTTTACAAAAAAAATCGCAAGAACTTTCTTTACAAAATAAAAAATGGCAAGAACTTTCTTTACAAGCCCAAAAAATTTTTTAAATTTTGAAAAATATGCCAATAACCATCCACACTTCAATGTTGTTCTGTTTAGCACATTCTCCTAGTCCTAACAGACCTCTTTTGCCTGTTTTGTCATTGTTTTTTATTAGTTTTCTTTGCGCGTAAACAAAGAGAGTGCTACGAAAGAGGAGAGCACTAGACAGTTGTTTTTTGGTTAGAGAAAGAAGATGTTAAAATGTTGAGAAAATATGCAAAAACTTTGTTTCCAAAACGCAAAAGAACTATAATAAAATGAAATGTAGGTAAATTGGCAAGAACTTTCTTTACAGAACAAAAAATAGCAAGAACTTTCTTTACGGAACAAAAATTTACAAAAAAATAAAGCTCATCGTATAACTCGTCTCCTGCAGACTGCAGAAACTAAAATTTCTATGAAAATGGCAAGAACTTTCTTTACAAACAATCAAAATCGTATCTATCGTATAAAATGCCACCCGCAGCTTGCAGAACCTTAAATTTTATGTTGATGGCTGACAAACGGCAAGAACTTTCTTTACAAGAGAAAAAATAGCAGAAACTTTCTTTACAAAACAAAAAATGGCAAGAACTTTCTTTACAAAACAAAAAATGGTAAGAACTTTCTTTCCAACCCCCAGAAATTACATTTTTTCCAAAGAACGAACCCCCCGTTCACACATTAGTAACGTTGAAATGAGTAAGCCGCTATAAAATAAATTAAAATTTTTTTGCTCCAAGGTAAACAAACGTATTCTACTACTAATATATAACGCTTAAATGGAAATGAGATTAATTCCAATTAAAAAACGAGGTGACAAAACAAAAAAAAACCCGCGTTTTAATTATTTTGAAATTCAAAAAATTTTTTAAATTTAAAAAAATAAAGTTTAAAAAATTAAAAAATGGTAAAAACTTTCTTTAAAAATACACGGAATGGCAAGAACTTTCTTTTCAAGACCAGGTTTAACAAAACCTTTCTTTACAGGTCATACAAATGACATTCGTCGTATAAAATGTCACCTGCAGTCTGCAGGACTTTAAATTTTAAGTTACGACCACGAAATGGCAAGAGCTTTCTTAAAAAAACAAAAAATGGCAAGAACTTTCTTTACAAAACAAAAAATGGCAAGAACTTTATTTACAAAACAAAAAATGGCAAGAACTTTATTTACAAAACAAAAAATGGCAAGAACTTTCTTTACAAAACAAGAAATGGCAAAAACTTTCTTTACAAAACAAGAAATAGCAAAAACTTTCTTTACAAAACAAGAAATGGCAAAAACTTTCTTTACAAAACAAGAAATAGCAAGAACTTTGTTTCCAAATTGAAAAATAGCTTAAAAGCATAAAAAAGCCAAAAAGTTTCAAAACATGCCCAAGACTAACAAACCTCAAGAATTGTTTTTCGAAAAACGCCAAAAATGAGAAAACGAAACAGAATTTGGACCACTTTTGGCGGCAAAGGAAAGGGAAAAAAAGGCTATTTTGCCATAAACTTACGGGAAAAAAACAACTACGACAACATAAATTAGAGCTGTAAAAGTATGGTAAAACATTACTACCAGTCGTTTTTTAGGTAAAAAATGGAAAGAACTTTCTTTGCAAATCAAAACACCGCAAGAACTTGCTTTACAAAACAGAAAATGGCAAGAACTTTCTTTACAGAAGAAAAAATGGCAAGAACTTTCTTTACGAAACAAGAAATGGCAAGAACTTTCTTTACAGAAGAAAAAATGGCAAGAACTTTCTTTACAAAACATAAAATAGCAAGAACTTTCTTTACAGAACAAGAAATGACAAGGACATTCATCACAGAAGTTAAAACGGCGGTAACTTTCTTTACAATACAAAAAAAGAAAAAGTAATATCCAACATATAACATGTCACCCGCAGCTCTCAATAACTTGATTTTTTATTTTTTGGCTGAAAAATGTCAAGAACTTTCTTTACAAAGTTGAAAATGGCAGA